TTCGCCCTTGAATGTGGACACGGGGGTTCTACCTAGATATATGGACTCGAAATTTGCGAACTTAAGTCAACAGTGGCGTGATGACCTCAACTCTGCTATCTTGGAGGTTTCGCGAACATTCAGGAACGATATAATTGCCCTAGAAAATCGCATGAACACATGGGAGGATAGGGTAGCTCAAGTGGAATCAGCGGCAGTCATCGGCTCCTCTTCCCTGCCGTCCAACCTCATGGAAGAAAATGCGTCACTACGTCACGAACTTGAAACCTTGCGTAACAGGCTCGACGACATCGATCAAGCCTCTAGAAACTGCAATATTGAGATTCAAAATGTGCCCGAAAGTAAAGGTGAAAATCGTATGCAGCTCTCTCTTACACTAAGCAGCATTTTAAACGTCGAATTAAAAGACTCTGACATAAAAACTGTACACCGCGTTGCACCAGGTGTCAGGTACGCGGGTCGCCCGAAAAATATTATACTGCAGTTGACAACTCGCAGAAAACGTGATAATTTTATCGCTGCTGCTCGTGTGCGTGGCTCTCTAACAGTTGATCAATTGCTCGGTGGATCTGCGGCTGCCTCGAGTGTCAACAACAATCGATTCTACGTCAATGAGCACCTTACCTTGAAAAAACAAAATACTCTTTAGTAAGGTCAGGCAACTTGCAAAGGAAAAAGGTTACAAGTATGTATGGATAAAAAACTGCTGTATTTTTGTTAGAAAAACTGATGAAGCTAAAGCCATCCAAATACGATCCAATGATGATTTAGCCAAATTAGTATGACTATATTATACCTCTCTGTATGGTTTACATATTTTTTGTATTGTATTCAAATTTTCTTTATTTTTTGTTGGTATCTTGTTCTTTTCATATTCTTTTACGGCAGTGTGGAGTGCGAAACTGGATTTTTCTATAATCTTCACTTTATTCCTACCCATCTTTCATATTTCTGATTATGGATAATGGCTCAAAATACCTTATCTATTTATTATCAGAACTGTGGAGGCATAAAGAGTAAAATAGATAAGCTCAAAAATAGTATACTTCTTAGCAACTATGATATTATTGTTCTAGTAGAGACGTGGTTAGTGGATTCTATCTTTGATGGAGAGTTGCATTCTGGCGGTTATGATTTATTTCGACGGGACAGAAACCTCCAGTTTTCTCGCAAAAAAGGAGGCGGTGGGGTCTTAGTCATGGTGAAAAGAGGAATTAAATCTATCAGATTGACTGAGTTTGAAGCCCCGGATTTGGAGGAAATATACATTCACTTGCCATCTCACTCTGGTCTCCTCCTCAATGCCTGTTACTTTCCTCCCGTTACTCATACCTCTATATACATAAAATTCTTTCAAAAACTGCATGACATACATGCTAGCGCTAGATTCTCTAATTACATAATTACAGGTGACTTTAATTTACCTCATCTCAACTGGTTATCCTCTCCAGATACCCTACTACAATCTGCAAATACTGAGACATCTAAATTATTGTTGCATACCATGTCTTTCTTGAATTTAAAGCAAACTAATGTTGTCCTCAATAGCAATGCGCGGCTCCTAGACCTAGTCCTATCGACGCTTCCCGGGCGTGTTGATTATTCCGATGACCCGTTGCTTAATCCTGTTCCTCATCACCCGCCTTTAGATATTCTAAGTACTGTTAACAGGTCAATTTTCATGACATCAGCTGTTTTCAATCAAAGAAATTTCTTTAATGCAGATTATGACTTAATAAATAATGCTATCTATAAGGTAGATTGGGTGTCACTGCTGGCCTCGTCCCATTCTGAAGATGCTGTTGCCATGTTCTACTCAAAAATAAATGAAATTATTTCTGTTTGCGTGCCATTCTCTAAACCTAAATCCCGTAAGTATCCGGTTTGGTTTAGCAGAGGACTGATAAGAGCTCTTAATCGTAAGAAGAAACTCTGGTGTCGCTGGAAGACCTACAAAAACTTGCTCGACTATCAAGAATTTTCTTTATTAAGGGCACGTGTTAAAAGTCTTATGAAACTTTGTCATAATCGATATATAGAAGGAATTGAACTTTCGCTGAGGGCAAATATCAAGCACTTTTGGAAATATACGTTTGCTCTAAAGCAGACTAACTTAGGATATCCTAAACGAATTAAATATGGCAGTGTTTCATCTGACGACCCTAATCAAATAGTAGAGTTGTTTTCGAGTTATTTTCGGTCAGTGTTTGAGTCTCAAACTGGCTCAGCTGGAGACACGACACTGTGTACACCGATGAAGAGAGCCTTCCCAATGACTCTCGGGTCCTTGTGCATAGTTTGTACTTCAATGAAGATGAAGTCAGCAAGGAGCTATATTTGCTTGACCCAAATAAAGGTCCTGGCCCAGATCAAATCAGACCAGTTTTTCTCAAGAAAACAAGCCGGTCAATATGTGTCCCCTTACATATTATATTCAATAAGTGTATGTCCAGTGGCACTTTTCCTGACTGCTGGAAATTATCTTATATAACGCCTATCTTCAAGGCTGGTGAAAGGAGTGATGTCGAAAATTACCGACCGATTTCAATACTTTCTGCAATCCCTAAGGTCCTGGAAAGATTAGTTCACCGACACATTTATTCCAGCCTAAGGCATGTTATTATAGACCAACAGCATGGATTCGCAGCTGGTAAATCTACTCTCTCTAACCTCCTTGTTTTTACTAATTATATTTTTAGCGGTTTGGATAATAAACATCAGATAGACACAATCTACACAGACTTTCAGAAGGCTTTTGATAAGGTTGACCATATGATGCTTTTACAAAAGCTATCTTTTAATGGTATTAAGGGTAATCTTTTAAGATGGTTTGCAGCATATCTACATAATCGTGTTCAATCGGTGGTAATAAATGGGTTTACCTCTTCTCAAACAGTAGTGACATCCGGCGTTCCCCAGGGCTCAATCCTTGGGCCGTTGTTGTTTTCCTTATTTATTAATGACATATCTAAATGTTTTTTACACTGCAATTACTTGCTGTATGCAGACGATTTAAAGTTATATAGAACGGTAGTTACACTTTCCGACGTGGAACTTATTCAGGAAGATCTCGATAGGCTAGATGACTACTGCAAGATAAACAAATTATTCTTAAAATATAGTAAGTGTCAGCATATCGTGTTTACAAGGAAAACACATAACGCAATCACGGCCAATTTCACCCTGGAAACCATGCCCTTGAACGTGTGTGCTCTGTAAGGGATCTTGGTGTCCTTCTTGACTCCAAATTAATCCTAGATAAGCACATAGGCTCAATTATTAATAAAGCCTACCGTATGTTAGGCTTCATAACGCGTGTCACCAGACATTTTAAAGAAAAAACCACGTACATTCACCTCTATAAGGCGCTTGTGCAGTCCCAGTTGGAGTACGCGTGTCCAATCTGGAATCCCCATTACGCTATATATGACGCACAACTGGAGGCTGTACAAAAGAAATTCTTACGTATTCTAAATTATCGTATGAATGGTAGTAGGGCTAGTTATAAGGAACTTTTAAAAAAAATATAAATTACTTTCTTTGAGTACTAGGCGTAATTTGACAGACTGTGTCACTATTAGAAAAATATGTGTAAATGAAATAACTTGTTCCCATCTTCTCGAACTGATACCATTTAATGTTCCTGCCAGATCTCTGCGCTCGCACAGAACTTTTAACCTTCCGACTCCCAGAACCAACATTGGGTTCCGTGAGCCTCTTCACAGGATGTGTTCCACCTTGGATTCCATCACTAACATCGACCCTTTTTCGCACTCCTCTACTGATTCATTTAAGAATAAGTTAAAACTATTATTATCTTAAGCTTTGTGTCGTCCTTGTTTTTTCCTTGTTTTTTTTTTTGTTTTGTTTTTGTAGCTGCTAGTTTAGTGTCAAATTTTGCTGTCATGTTTTGTCTTGTCTTACTTTGTATTGTATTTTTTATTAGTGAAACTTTTTTCGAGGATATGTCCAATATGTCTATTTATTTTATGTTTACATTTATTTTTATTTTTTTCTATATAGTGATGTATCTGTTTAGTTTCCAATAAATAAATAAATAAATAAAAAGTTACAGAGTTACCGTTATAGTGTAAGCCTACTGACCTCGTGATGTGGTCAAGTTCTAGAGATCTATTTACAAACTCCATCGCCATCGTAACTGTTAATACGCAGTATAACAATTACATTATCTATTTTTTTGGTTTTTGGTAGAAGACAATAAGTTCGAAAATGTTATGTTAATGTGTGAACATAAGTACAACATACTTATTTATTATGTTTATAAAACGTGTGGGTTTCTCTTCACTTATTTTAATATCATACTCACTATTTAAAACAATTATAAACTTGTAGCTTTTAAATTGTCTCGACGGGTTACCAAGCACATTTAACACGTATTATTTGTACAAGACGTCTCTTTATATTAAAAAGTTGCATTTTTTTCGTCGTTTAATATAGTATGACAATATTATTTGTCATCGATAATAATTTCTTTACTTATTAAAAAGTCCATCTTTTAAAAAGTAAATTCACTTTTAAACCGTTAATACTTGTGGTCAGATAAGGGACAAAAACCGCCTTCCTCGGTGAAGGCGTTGTCCGCAACCCTTTCCCCGAACCCGCTTTCGCTCGAGCTTACTACTTCCTGAAGCGGGAAGTGAGAGTGAGACGTAAGACCGATGTGCGTGAGGACGTCGATCTCCACCACAACCTAGAGCTCTCTACCATAGCCCAATGGATGAAGTTGGCCACTTCGACATGGTTAAACACCATCCCAACCCGTTGGTACGCAAAAGCATCAACTACTACAATGAATGAAATATAATCGAGTAACAAACATACAATTCAATAATATTTAGCGATATCATTAGACACCAATACTAATTATGTTTAAGATTTTTTATAATTTCCGTCTTTTGCATATTTTTTCCATTAATTTATGTATATTTGTAGTATATATATGGAGTAGAAAATAAGAAAGTCAAAACGAGGACAGGAAAATGTTTCTTCATTTTGGAATATTACTTCTTCTGTCCCAAGGACTCCTTGGTAAGTTAAATTTCATTCAATTAATACTTGTTTATACCCAATGCTGTGTAGTCTTACGAAGGATGCAAACACGACTCGAACATAATTTTTGACAAATAAGAACTATTTAATTTCGCACCATCTGGAAAGTCATTTAAAAATTAAATATTGAATTCTTTCTTCGTTTTCCGTTAACACAATAATTGTTATACCGTACTTCGTGCACAGTATATTAAACTAAACATGAACATGTAGCCCAATTAAATGAAGTACGTTCACAGGCGAAGTGGACGTTTCGGAAGCTATAGATGGAGACAGCCGAATAATCGGTGGCCAAGATGCCACTCCAGGCATAGCTAAGTACCAAGTTTCAATTCGTGTTCATGAAAATGGTACAGAAGTGCACCATTGCGGAGGATCTATTTTAAACGAAGAGTACGTGTTAACGGCCGCCCATTGCGTTTATAAGTGAGTATATTTTATTTAATTGCAAAAGAAAAAAATATTATGCTCATTACTATTCTGGCATATTGGAATGATGGGTGATGTAGGTAGGTGATGACACAAATAGTTTTAGTTAAAACTAGACTTAAATCATAGTTTATTGATAAAAAATACTTTTAGCGAAAAAATTGAAGATTTGTCAATGGTCGTTGGCAGTCACACGATCGATAAAGGCGGCGACCGTTACAAGATTAAAAAATTAATCCCTCATGAGAATTTTGATAAACGCAGTGTAAAGAATGACATAGGCATCGTACATATCGAAGGCAAATTCAAATTCAGCGATAAGGTTCAACCAATTGAGTTGTTAAAAGCAATGGCACCCATTGGAAAGAAATGTCTCTTGACTGGCTGGGGATACGTAGACTATGTGAGTAGATTAATATATTTGATTATTATTTATTAACAAAATGTTTTTATAAGTTTATCAGTTTTGTAATATTCTGCACTGAGACCCTTATTTCGCTGGAATTTCGCGAACTCCGGGCTAGACGCTTTGTGGCTTTAGAAATAAATACAAGTAAAAGTTATTTTATTTAGCAAAAATATTATGTATATAGGACAAACAACTAAATAATAATAAGTTTGTAAGAAAATGACATTCAGCAGGGCTTGCAATATTTAAACATCGTTACGTTCATTTGCATTATTTATAAAAAAATTGAAACACTGAATTCTCTCCTTGATAAACAAATGTTGATTATTATTACAGATCAAATATATTAAACCAAACCATCTTCAAATGTTGGAGCTCGAAACAATAAGCAATGAAGACTGCAGTAAACGATTAAGATACGCGCATATTCCACGGCAATTATGGCAAGTAGACGCCGGACAACTCTGCGCTAAGCACCCGAACCACAAAGGTGGATGCTATGTAAGTATCAAATGTGCTACAACATGTTCAAATGGTCATAGTTTCACGTTACTAATAGGCCTTTATCAAAATGGTTCTAAATATAAGGTCACATTAATCATAGTACCTGGATAGTAAATGTTTTCAAAATTTCCAAATTCCTATGTTTGCATTTAACACTTTCTCATACGGTGAAGTTCAAACATCGTGAGGGAATCATGATTTCTTATCCTGATGGAAAAAAATACTGATCAGCTACACACCTATAAAAACAAATGAGCAAATTCTGCGATCTGAGGCCAATACCCAGAATCACACACTTCTGGATTATTGTTATGAATAGAAGCAGATCAAGAAGTGTGCAGTAACAATATAATACATTCCTGTGAAATCAATACGTTTAAATATTTTTACTTCTTATGCAGGGTGATTCTGGTGGAGCTCTCGTCATTCAGGACGATAAGAACAAAACTCTTCAAATAGGAGTCGTGTCCTATGGAATTCCCTGCGGCAAAGACTTTCCTGATGTATATGCTTCAGTCCATGGTTACTACGATTGGATACAGAGCAAAATTAAATGAATTATTGAATAATCCAATTTGGTTACATCTGATATAAAAAAATATCATTTGAAAAAAATGTATATTTTATGGAATATTTAAAGAATACAACTAACATTTAATTAAAAAAAAACCTATTCATAATAAAAAAAATACATTATAGCTCTTTTGTATTTTGTTTTGTTGTGAGCGTTACACTGAATAAAAAAAATCTGTTTATTCATTTTAAGTACATACGCATTACAATGTGTTAGATTTGGGAACCCTTTTAAGTAAGAAATACTTGTGTCAGGGTTCCATAACAAACTTGAGTATAAATTCCTTAAAATATTCCTTATATATATAGTTTAATCTCTCTATAATATTATCATTTATAATCATATCATTTATATATCAAAAAATATCTCAGTTTCTTCGTAAAATTGTCAAGCTTTTGCGGAGACCCTCATGCAAATTTGAAATAGTTTCTTAGCAATAACTAGATCCTTCCTTCCCTTCCTTTCTTTAAATAATGCCATTGTCACAAGGTGGACAATTTATTTCGTATTACATAATGTATAAAAAATACTTAATTATAAAAATTTAGGTATTTACAATATCCAACATAGAAATAATGATAATTAAAAATTAAGCAACAACAACTGCAGCTTAGAGCTACGACCTTATGATCTGCGGTCAGACTAAAATAAAATAAAGTTACTTAGTAGTAATATTATATATATATATATAATATATATATATATGATATTAATGAATAGGCTTCCGGAAAGTATGATCAGTGCACCATCTGTGAACACCATTAAAAATAGATTGGATAAGTTTCTCCAAATCTCATAATACACGCGCATCAGCTTATTAAAAGCTGCCAGTGTGTTAAGTAAATAATTATAATAATATACAATACTGATATTATATATATTATATATATAATATCAGTCGCCATCATCATCATTATATGTATATATATATATACTGGTATCCAGGGACCTTGTCATTGATACAAATGTGATAATCTTATTCACAGGCTATACAACCAGGTACTTTGGACTTAATGAAAAAAATTAAAAATAATTTTAGTATACCTACTTATAAAAGTATTTCACAAAAAATATGAAACTTAAGCAAGGACTTCCTTATCACTTTTTCTCGTTCTATATCTCCAGGAGACATAGCATGATCAAGAATGCAACGAAAACTAGGTTTTAAGATAAAAATGATTATTTTTTTTTTTACCTTAGTTCGTTTATCTATTAGAGATAAGGTTAATTTATATAGCTGCAAACATTCAAGGTTTCGTCAATACCAATTAATTTCTTTAGTATTCGAAGACAGTCGATGTACAACCATGTGGCTGTTTCATGCCTACATTCTTTGCAATCTGTATATACCTATTTAATGTGTGTACATCGTTCATTTCTTGAAATAGTGCTTTAAATTGGAAATGGGTCTTCTGTAACAATAACAAAACTCTTTAAGTAAACCACTCCAAGGCCATCGAAACTGTTAATACGCAGTATAATAATTATAGTATCTTATTTTTTTAATACTTCAATTTGAATTTAAATAATGAGAATTTGGTAGAAAATAATGAGTTTGATTATTTTGTGTTAATGTGTAAAGACGTTAATTAAAGTACCTAACCTACTTATGTTTTTCTCTTTACTTATTTTTATAACATAATCACTGAGATAATAAAGAAACGACGTGTAATACGAATCAAGGTTTATTGGTGACTGACGCACAGCACACTACAATGGTACATTTAGGTATCTCAATTCGTGCGCACGCACACACGCGCTTCACTCATACACTACATAATCTCCACCCTTATTTGACACAACTGTTACTAAAAAATAAACTTACATTAACTAATTACTACTTAGATCTATTACAGGTAAGCCTATCTTATTGTCTAACAATTATATAAACCAACACCATACTTATTACTAAACTTAGGTAAATTATAAATGACTACTAGAAAATCAAAACTTATAATTAGGTGGATTGTTTAATCGATATTGTCGAGTACAACGAGGTTGAACCGGTTCAGGGGTAGGTGTTGAAGCCTGAAAGGTACCCGGGCTCTGGTGCTCCCTACTCTCAAAGAATTCATCATTCATCCCACCGCTGTTAGGAGAAACGGAAACTGTCGCGGGCGTCATCGGCGTCACTGGCGTCTCGGGGGTTCTCGGTGAATCGCCCCGCCTTGACGTAACCAAACCTCTTCCCCCTTGCCTAGCTGACGTGTCCCCTTCGGCCCCTGGTCCCTTTGGCAACTTTGTGCCATTTTAACCGCGTCCTCCCGGCTCGGTGTGAGTGCATCGAGCTTGGTACGCAGCCTACGACCTACCATCAACACTGCTGGCGTTTCGCCCGTCGTGCAATGTTCCGTGTTCCTATAATATAGTAAATAACTATTTAACGATAATGTTACGTCTTTGTTCTCTCTTATGGCTTTTTTAATTACCCTTTTAACAGTACGAACTGCATTCTCTGCCGCCCCATTCGATGCCGGGTGGTATGGCGCTGAAAAAATGTGCTCGATACCGTTACTATTTAAAAATTGTGCAAATTCCTGACTTGTATATGGTGGCCCATTGTCAGAGACGATTTGTTTAGGCAAACCGTATCTTGCGAAGACGTCACTAAGTACTTTAACCGTATAACCCGCTGCTGTACTTGGCACTTGGCTAACCTCAATCCACTTACTTCTGGCATCTACTATGACTAGGAAAAGTTTCCCTGCTATCGGTCCTAAAAAGTCCATGTGTATACGTGACCAAGGCTTATCCGGCCATGGCCAAGGACACGGCGCATGTCGCGGTGGCATATCCGCCTCCACTGCGCATACCCCGCACCCCCGGCACATAGCTTCTATGGCCTCGTCCATCCCTGGCCACCACACATAGCTTCTCGCAAAAGCTTTGGTTTTTACGATCCCCATATGAGCCTCATGTAACACTGTAAGTACCTTTCCCTACAAGACTCCGGGATTACCACCCTATGTCCCCATAAGATGCACCCCAGTTCCTCATATAATTCCTGCTTACGATTATAATAAGGTTGTAATGTCTTGATTTCACAATCAGTTGGCCACTCCGTACGTATATACCTTATTATTCTGCCTAACAAGTGGTCCCGACCCGTTTGTTTTTTAATTTCATTATAATCTAATAAAACAGCGTTTTGTGCGAAATGCAAAAAAGTTTGCTCCGGTACCTGCCTTGTTTGTTTGTCTACTGCGCTCGCCGCGGGCCAACGTGACAACCCGTCCGCTCCATTCTGTTTTGATGTGATGTATTCTATCGTGTAGGTATATGCGGACAGCTTAATCGCCCACCGCTGCAACCGGCTAGCGGTCATCGATGGAATACCTTGTTTGGGACCAAAAATTGTCACTAAAGGCTTATGGTCGGTGCGTAGCGTAAAGGACCTCCCATACAGATACTGGTGCAATTTTTCGAAACAGTAAACAATAGCTAAAGCTTCTCACTCTATTTGTGAGTAATGTTTTTCCGCCGCGGTGAGTGCGCGGGATACATACACTACGGGCCGTTCTCGCCTACCAGAGTCGCCACTACTGCTATCCCCCTCACACCACTGCGTGAGCACGCCGCCTATACCACGAGCGCTTGCGTCACAAGTTAAGAACAATAATAATATGGTTTATGCGGATCAAAGTGGGCCAGTACGTCTGCGCTAATTAAAATATTCTTAATGTTTTATAACGCTTTTTCGCACTCTCTATCCCAGTGCCACTCCGCGCCTGTTTTTAACAGGTTGTACAGTGGGGCGAGTGTAGCGCTCAAATTATTAATGAACTTGGCATAAAAATTAATTGTGCCTAAGAATGCCCTCAGATCCGTTACGTTATTGGGACGGGGAATATTTATTATTCCCGTAATTTTCTCGGGATCGACTCTTATTCCATCTGCCGATATTAAGTATCCTAAATATTTTACCTCACTCATCATAAATGAACATTTACTTTTCTTAAGCCTCATTCCATTATTTAATAAGCGTTGTAACACTCTTTCTAGAATTGCTAAATGTTCTTGTGTATTAGACGTTCCGATGATTACGTCGTCTAAAAATACCCCTGTGTTGGGAATATCGTTGAAAAGATTTGTCATTATCCGTTGAAAAATACCGGGGCTGGAGGATAACCCGTATACTAATCTTTTGTACTTATATAAACCCTTGTGTGTGGTTGATGACTGTTAAGTTATCAGGGTCATTGAGTTCAATCTGGTTGTAAGCCTGCGATAAATCGATTTTTGAGAAAATCCTAGCACCGTTTAGTCTCACCAATAGATCATCGATGCGCGGCAACGGGAACCTATCAACTACCAGAACCGGATTTAGTGTTACTTTATAATCGGCACAGATACGGAGTTCATTGTCAGCCTTACGCACAAGAACGAGGGGAGTCGCCCAGTCCGCGCTCTCCACCGGCTCGATGACGCCGGCGCGCAGCATGCTCTCCAGCTCGTCGTCGAGCCGCTCGCGCAGCGCGTTGGGCACCGGCCGCGCGCGGCAGAACACCGGCATCGCCCCCTCGCGCACCCGCAGCCTGGCTACCCCTCCCGTAAACCGGCCCAATCCCTCCGAAAACAACTCGCTATGCCTGGAAAGTAATTGTGACAAGTTATTCCCATTACTTGAAATTTTCTGCTCTAAACCGGCTGTTATAATATTTTGTTTCTACATAGGTACTTTAATTGCCAATTCTGATAACCATTGACGGCCCAAAATCGAAGTCGTACCGCCATTGATTATAAACAACTCCATATTTTTACTTTTGTCCCCCACACTAACTAATGGTTTTATTACACCTAACGGTTTAATTAAAGAACCATCAATAAATTTAAAAACAAAATTAGTTTTTTCTATAGGTCTGTTCCAAAAGTATTTGTCGTATTTCTCCTTACTTATACAAGACACCAAGGACCCTGTATCAATTTCCATTGATAACGACTTATTATCAATTATCACTACAACACTTACCGGCTTATAACTAT